GCGGTGGGGGGTAACCGATACAACCCCTTTCGCCGTGTCTCGAGTCCAAATGGCAGGCCGTCCTGGAAAAAGACGCAGCTTCAGCCTCCAGATCTGATGGGGTGACTCCATCAACAGAGTTGGTCAGTTGTCTAGCAAATTGGTGCGTGGCCAGATCCCATCACTTGTTCCACCGAGTCTTTTGCATCATGAGTGATTGACAGATCATATGTGTGAAATGAATGACTGAATGATGGGAATGTCAATGGATGGATGAACAATGGCCAAAAACGTAGACGGACAGCGAAAGAAGCAGCCTACAAGGCACTCTATCCGGTCTACCAGACACGCTGAAAGGAGCTCAGTTTGCTGAAGGGCATGGCCAGCCAGCCCCAGAAGCTGGTCCTCTTCCACCCCTTGTCTTCTCCATCATCCCGCTCGATTTCTGATCCCTACCAACTCCATCCCCACATCACCCTTCTCATTAGCAGAGCCCACAACGGGCCATTCACTGTTGCTTCTGTCATCGCTGATTGTTCTTCTTCTTTGGTGTCAACTGAGCATCATAATACCCACATTTCCTCCTCCTCTGCCCCAACATATCTCAACCCCCCGTCTTTTTCAAGATGATGATGATGATTATCATTATTGTTAAATTTTTCAGATAGAATATTGATACAATTTTTAATTTTGATAAGCTTTAATCATAAATTTTGTCAATGAAATCAACAATAACATCTCTAAAACCCAATTTCTAGAAAAAGAGAGAAAGGAAGGAAGTGATAAATTATCTTGATGAGGAAATCTGTATAGATGAGTCATGATGATACATTTATATTATGTATGGAGTCAAATTCCCACTGTTGGATGTAAGTATTCTGCAGAAAAGAATGAGATCTGATTTGTATTTTTTTCTTACTACAAAAACATCGCACAAGCAAGCATGTCTCAATCAATTTCCTTGAGATAAGACCTGCGAAGACAAGGCCCAGGGGGAGATTTCCGCTGACCGTTAGCGAGAGAAGCCTGGACCGGAGTGTTAGAGAAACTATTGACATGTTTGGCAAGTAGCAGCGCTTTGGGCGGAGGTTCCGGCATCTTGTCCGAGCTGGCTTGCTGGAACACATTCTTCATGTGTTCCAGCAAGCCGTTGATGTGTTTGCAGCCGGTATTAGAGAAATGTTCCTATGCAATTTGGTACTTGAAACACATTTGGCACACTACACCGGGTACCTGCGGGTACCTGGCACATTTTTGCAGGCAAATATACCCAGAAATCTCACCCTTGAATTTCTGAATGACTTGGTAAATATAAGATTGATATTCACTAGATATATGAGTAAGAATAAAATAAAAATAAAGGAATAAATAAAAACAAATTATTCTATCACCAATTTGAATTTTATCTTCTCTAGAATCTCTCTGATCTAACTTTAGCTTTACCCTTTTGCTTGGCCTGATTTGCCTTATTCAATGTCCACTGATGAAGATTGTACACCATTTTTATGACTGGAGGAATTACTCCAGCCATCAAGACTGTACACCATCTCAAAGGCCGGAGGGAGCCCTCCGGCCTCAACAAAGCAACCAGATTAGTTCAGCAACACATGTAAGACACCAGCTGGTGTCCTAAATGGGTTGCTGACACCTTTGTGCAGGAACAGTAAAACGGAAGAAGGGAGTGTTGGACCACCAATGATAAATTAAATTCTTCAGGGGAAGCATTCCCAGGGCGGGTGTAAGGCGGGTACCTGCCTTTTTTTACCGCAAATGTTGACACCCGCACCCGCACCCGCACCCGCACCTGTTTTTACTACAAATGTTGACACCCGCACCCGCACCCGGTACCTGCTTTGGAAAACAGGTACCCGCAAACGGGTACTGGGTACCTGCTTACATCTCTAGTGCTGCGCTGCTGCGAAACCGCGTCAAAACACGGAAAAACCGTGTTTTTTTATTAAGGCCCTTAAAAAAATTGTGTCCAACTTTCTTGGGACACAAGCCAAACATATTTCCGAATAAAGCAGGCTTTCAAAAATGATTCCCCTAACTATCATGGGGTTTTCAAAAAATGATCCACAACCTCTACATAGGGCTTTTCACTATATATACCTCCCAATGGCTTGGGGGGCTTAGTACAGTTAGGGTTTTTCAAAATATCTTACCTGATGTTTTTGGGATTTCAAAATATTCTTCAACACACTTTTTTTTGGTTATTTGACCTGATCTGGAAGGTTTTGGGGCGGCTTTCTGGATTCAGACACTTTCTAAATTTTATGATCCTATAAAATTAATAATATCTGAAGTTTGAACCGTCCACTCTGAGAAGAAAAATGTTTTGACACCCAATTTGAATTCCTTGCAAAATATCCTCTGTCAGCCATGGTGTCTTTTTTGCAAACTTTCCCCCCAATCAAAGCAATCTGACTTGGTGTTCTGAAACTTGGAAAAATAGCCTTGCAGGGTTGGGGATAGGTGTGATAGCAATGTGTCCTGGTTCAGGCCTTGAGGATTTTTTAAAAATCCATCAATAGTTGTTTATAGGGTATTTGTCATGGATGTGTGTTGCCAGTTGGGTTGGGCTTAGGTTTGGGTGCTTGGGAGGAGTTTGCAGGCTTGAGCAAGTGGTTGTTAGAAGTATATAGATGGTGAGTTGGTAGATGTGTTGGTTTTTGATTTGGTGAGGGCAATGTGCCACAATTATCATTCACTGTTATTGATTTGTTTGAGATGTCCATAGATTTTGGCCAAGTTGTGGAAAGTTGTGCTACTATGAGTGTTCTTTGAAAGCTGAGTTTTGTATTTATGGTGTTTACAACCCATTCAAACTGGGGTATCTTGTTGAGCTTGCCAGACTTTTCCTTGTCGCCGACCAGTTCTCCGACTTCTTGTGCATCCTGATCATCCATGTCCATCATGGGACCAGCTCATGGTCGAGTACCCTCCTCCCAGCTACTCTCGCCGGATCCTCAACTTGTGCCCGGCAGACTACCGACCGGGACACTCCTGGTAGCCGAAGTCAGAAGACTGTCCAGGGCGAGGTTGATGGGAATATCCAGCTCGCCCAGCAGCTTCCTGTCGACTGCCAGTGCCCAGCAACCACCACCACCACCACCACACCAACAACAACTACCACCAGACCAACTAACCCCTCATCCAACTCACTCCCTGCTCCTGACTAGTACTGACTTGATCACCCCACAGGACGCTCTGGCTTGTCGCGGACCATCGAGTGCAAACCTAGCAGACTCTCACTTTTCAACCGACAGAACGCCCGTCCCAGGAAGCTTCAATCCTAACCAGCTGGAACTCGCGACTCCTTCAAACAAGCCTGCAAGAACTCCTCGAGTATCATCAGAAAACACCATGCTAGAAGATGACACGAGCTCAGAATTATCCTCAGAACTAGAAATTCAACATACACCGACCGCGCAATCGCGTATCCAGAGTCTCCTCTATGTCGGATCTCACTCACCCAGCTCTCGTCAAAGCCCATCAACCAAGTCTCGAGGTAATCCGCTGGAAAAAAACGCGCTCTTGGACACAGCTCCCGACGAATTACTCTCCACCCATCATGGCCAGATGCCCAGTAGTTTCGTCAACTTGTTAGCTCTACACAACGCGTTGGAGAAGGCCTTACTCTTGCATCTGGCAACACAAGGCGCGAACGCAGCGATGACGGTCGTCAATTCCACTCCACCGACCTGTCCCACTGAAACAAACACTCTCACACCTCCCGCACGCGACGAGAGGATGAAAACCCCAGAACCTGATCAACAACGCTCCCGCCGAGCTCTGAGTCCTGAGGAGGAGGAAGACCTGTTCAAAACATTCAGACTCGAAAGCTTGGTATCCTGGCCAGTCATCAAGCCGATCGTCGAACGCGGATCGGGCAAACACTTTGGAGAGAGAGAACTGGCTCAACTTCTATGGCTTTGGCAAAACGATCCAGATAATGATTCGAACGAAGCACAAACAACCCAGGTACGCAAGAGGAAAAAAGCCGCCACCCCGGATATGGACGAGCCATTGGATCATAGTAGTGCTCAGCGGGATCACGTGGGAGAAGCTAAAGAGCAAGTAGGAATGGGGTTCATTATCTCGCGTGTCCGATCGTTAGACCCTTCAGGGACTATGGAAAACAAGCGGCTGAGGTACACGTATGGGCTCGGGTTGGAGATCAAAGCCCGAGAAAACCGACGGATGCCGACTTACTCGCTGCAATCGCCAGGGAAGTCGAACGAGTTTCTCGAATCGCCCAGCCGCTCGTTCCGATCCGCATCAACCGAGAACAAGTCCCGGAAGAGCCCGAGCAGGATCAAGGCGAAAGACGTGATGAATCTGGTGGCCCTGTGGAGCAGCAAGTCGGTCGATCGGAAGGCTGAGGTTGCCCGTCGGCTGCGCTCGTATTGGCTCTCTCGCTCCGCCGAGCCCGGCCATCCGCAATCCCAGGAACCTCCTACTAGTCCCTCCAATCTCCAAAGGATCGCCGTCCCCTTGGGGTGTCTCCCCAAGCTCGACCCAACCACCCATAAACTGCCCACTCATCCATTCAACCGTCCCCCCTCTGCTTCATCATCTCAACTTCCCTCGCTTCATCAGCCGGACCTCAAACGGCATCGACTCGATCTCACCCGGAACTCCGACCGCCGTCATTCTCCTTCTCCTAAACGCCCCAAAGTCAACCCCCATTCTCGCCTCCCTTCTTCAAATACCAACGATCCCAACTCGACTGTCCCTTCTATCTCAAGCCCAGGCTCAGGCTCAGTTCAACACAGAGCATTGAGCTTACTAGAACGCGTGAGTTTGTTTGTATTCTCCTTCATAATTTGACACGCCTCCTCTTGGTCCCCAGAACGTGTTTTTTTGTTTCCTCTTGAATTGATCAGAT